GTGTGTGTGTGTGTGTGTGTGTGTGTGTGTGTGTGTGTGTGTGTGTGTGTGCGTGTGTGAATTATATGATATATAGATGAATAGATAGAACACTAGATAACCAAAGTATCAACTCAAAAATCTGAAATTAAAAATTACTTATATCACATCTAGAGTGTGTGTGTGTGTGTGTGTGTGTGTGTGTGTGTGTGTGTGTGTGTGTGTGTGTGTGTGTGTGTGTGTGTGTGTGTGTGTGTGTGTGTGTGTGTGTGTGTGTGTGTGTGTGTGTTCCACTCTGTTCTGCTCACTTTCCCTATCCTTTTCTCTATATCCTCTGCTTATCCCTATGCCTCCTCCTCTTCCTCTTCTCCATCTCCCTTTCCTCCTACTGCTCCACCATCACTCCCCTTTCCTTTTCCTTTTCCCTCTCCCTCTTCCTCTCTTTCTCTCGCTTCCTCCTCTTCCTCTCCCTCCTTCCCCTCCCTTTCCCTCTCCGTCTCCTTCTCCCTCTCTCTCTCCCTCTCCCTCTCCCTCTCGCTCTTCCTCACCCTCTTCCTCACCCTCTCCCTCTCCCTCTCCCTCTCGCTCTTCCACTCCCTTACTTACCCTTTCTTCTTCTATCTCTCCTTCTTCTTCCCTCCTCCCCCTCTCCGTTGCCCTCCTCCTTGCCCTCTCTTTTCCCCTTCTCCCCTCCCCCCCTCTTTATACCCATCCTCTCACACCCTCCCTCCTACACCTCTCTTTCTCTCCCCCCCTCCACCCCCCTCCCCCTCTCTCTCCCTCTCCCTCTTCTCCCTCTCTTCCCCTCTCCCATTCCACCCCACCCCACCCCCTCAACCACTCTCCCTTTTTCCCCCTCTTCCTCTTCTCCCTCTTCTCCCTCTCTCCCTCCCTCTCTCTCTCTCTCCTTCTCCCCCTCTCTCTCTCTCTCCCTCTCCCCCTCTCTCTCTCTCTCCTTCTCCCCCTCTCCCTCCTCCATCCCTCTCCCACCAAACTCCCTCACACCCACCCCCTCAACCACCTTCCATCCCCTCTCCCTCACTCCCTTTCACCCCTCCCTCCCCCTCTCCCCCCTCCCCCTCTCTCCCTCCCTCCTTCGCCCCACCCTCTCCCCCTCCCCTTCTCAACCCTCTCCCTCTCTCCCTCACTCCCTCTCACACACCCCTTCCCCTTCTCCCTCACTCCCTCTCACCCCCTCCCTCCCCCTCCCCTTCTCCCCCCTCTCCCTCTCTCCCTCACTCCCTCTCACCCCCCCTTCCCCTTCTCCCCCCTCTCCCTCACTCCCTCACTCCCCCATTCCCCCCTCTCCTCCCCTTCTCCCCCCCTCTCCCTCTCTCCCTCTCACCCTCGCTCCCCCTGCCCCCCCCCCTCTCCCTCACTCCCTCACTCCCCCATTCCCCCCTCCCCTCCCCTTCTCCCCCTCTCCCTCTCACCCCCCCCCCTCCTCCATCCCAGACAAAACTTACATAACAAGGTTGTTGAATGTAGTACGTGAGGCAGAAGGGAACGCCCACTAGGAGAGAATGCATCACCCACGTGTTGGCAACGTGCACGCCCAAACACGCCCACACTGCACGGGATTTCAGCACGCGTCGCCACGCCAAATTCTGTAAGGGGGGGGGGGGGGGGAAGGAGGAAATTCAAGGTTTAAGGAATTGATTAATGTTGATTTTATGTACAGTTTTGATATCTTTTTTATATTCAAAATTCAAAATAAAATTGAGTTATGCTAATTTGCTTATTTGATTAGAGTGTAAAATTTCTTCTGCAAAATTAAATCAAATATTTTTAATAGAGTGATTGCATTGAAAAATTAAAATCAAAAGAAAAAGAAAAAAAAAGTAGAAGAAGAAGAAAAGATGAAGAAGAAGAAGAAGAAGAAGAAGAAGAGGAAGAAAAAGTAAAAGAAGAAATAAAAGAAAAAAGGGCGGAGCAGAAGAAGGAGAGGAAGAAATATAAGAAGAAAAAAGTTGGAGGAAAAGAAGAAGATGATAAGGAAGAAGATGATCACGGAAGAAGATGAAAGAAGATGAAGAACAAAAAAAAATAAAAAAGACCAAGAAAAAAAAAACAGGAAAAAACAACCACCACCACCATTACCACTACAAACAACAACGAAAACAATAAAAAAAAAAAAAAAATCACCTGATGGACGTTGGCCTCGACGGACGGCAGCAGGAGGCACGGCAGCAGAAGAGCCAAGGACACACTACCCAGGGTATACGTGGCCGCGTACCAGTCCTCCAGGCTTCCTAGTCCTACGCCCAGACAGGTCCCCAGGTAAGGACCTAGAAGGAAACAAGGACGTCAGGATATTTTTTTTTTCATTTCTTTTTTCTTTTTTTCTTTTTTAACAGAGCGGGGAAGATGCGAGGGATGATATGGATAAAGAGGGAAAATTTTTAAAACGGTGAGGGAGAAAACGTAAGGGAAGATAAAAATAAAATGAAGAAGGGATTTTTTTTTTTTTTTTTACGGAGCGGGAGAACGAATGGGAGAATAAAGATAAAGAGAGAGAGAGTGACGTAAGGGAGGGTAAATATAAAAAGAAAGAAAGGGAAATTGAAACGAAAGGGAGGATAAGGACAGAGAGAAAGAGAGAAAGAGAGAGAGAGAGAGAGAGAGAGAGAGAGAGAGAGAGAGAGAGAGAGAGAGAGAGAGAGAGAGAGAGAGAGAGAGAGAGAGAGAGAGAGAGAAAGGAAGAGAGAGAGAGTGGGAGAAGACGTAAGGGAGGATAAAAATAAAGGGAAAATGGGATATTTAAAAACGGAATGGGAGGATGCACGGGAGAGAAGAAGCATTTTTAAAACGAAAGGGAGAATAGAGATAAAGAGAAAATGTGATGAGAGAGAACGAAAGGGAGCATAAAGATAAAGATAGAAGAGAATTTTTAAAACGGAGCGGGAAAATGCAAGGGAGAATAAATATAAAGAGAGAGACAGGGATTTTTTACAACCGAGCTGGAGAACGTAGGGGGATATAGATGAAAAAAAAGTGTGGAGGGCTGAAATATATATATAAATATATTATTAGTATATACGATTGTAATATCTAAAGTACGGTGTTGTTTTTAGCTTTGTTGATAAGGAATGGAGAGGGGTCGTTGTGATATAAGATGCGGGGGTGTGATTGGGTACTGTGGTGATTATTCTTCTATTCTTCTTTTCTTTCTTTCTTTCGTTCTTCCTTTCTTCCTTTGTCTCTGTCTGTCTCTCTTTTTTAGTTGATATATATATATATTTATTTATTTATTTATTTATTTATATACATATATTAATAAAATGATTATAATTATCATTATTATTATTATTATTATTATTATTATTATTATTATTATTATTATTATTATTATTATTATTATTATTATTATCATTATTATTATTACTATTATCATTATTATTTTCAGGTAATGTAGTTTGAATACTTAAGAGCAAAGACAGTTGTTGAACAGGTATGAATGAGAATGAATAATTTGCAAGAAGTGTACCTGACGTTTCGATATGACAACTACAAATGGAAAGCGGTAAAAAAAAAGAATAAATAAATAATAATTGGATATCATACATTGCATTATTCAATATCATTCATTTCGATTCTACATCTTTCACCAAGAACTATGGACAATAGACCAAAATGCCTTTCAGCACCACTATTTTTTTTAATATATATATATAGGAAAATTTTATAAAAAAAAACACTTGATGAACAAAATCAAGGTCAGAGACATTACAAAACGAAATCGATACTTTTTTTTATCAATAGCGTTAAGATTTGATATAACCTGAAGAGCTTATTTACACAAACGCAAATGCAATAACGTGGGTCCGATGATGAAAACGAAACAGCCATCATGATAAAGGGGGAAACTTGTATAATGACGTTTCGAGTAATAGCAGCAACCTCATCATCATCTCTCTGTCTTTGTCTCTTACTTTGTCTCTTTGTCTCTGTCTCTGTCTCTGTCTCTGTCTCTGTCTCTGTCTTTGTCTTTGTCTTTGTCTTTGTCTTTGTCTTTGTCTTTGTCTTTGTCTTTGTCTCTGTCTCTGTCTCTGTCTCTGTCTCTGTCTCTGTCTCTGTCTCTTTGTCTTTGTCTTTGTCTTTGTCTTTGTCTTTGTCTCTGTCTCTGTCTTTGTCTCTGTCTCTGTCTCTGTCTCTCTCTCTCTATATATATATACATATATCACTATCTCTGTCTCCTTACTATAAAGGAGAAGAGGATTCCGCTTTTGCCGCCTGATGAGCAATTTAATTCGTCTCAAAACGCCATAGCCTATTATTCCTTTACTCATTCTGATTTTATTTCCAGAACTTAAAAGTTACCGAAAACTATAACTTCGAAATATATATAAAAAAACTAGAACTTCGAAAACTTACCGATAACTATAACTTCGAAAACTATAAATTACAATGCTGTTCCCATTTTCTATGTTTTTCGTGAAATGTCTGCCCTCTGCTTGTGCCTGATTTGAAATGGCGGGAAAAAAAACGTATTTTTCACTAGTGCTATGAATATCGATGGAGTTATGTTTAATATAAACATTATAATTATTATAATGTTTGATTTTTTTACATTAGTAACAGCAAAATAAGGTAACGTAAAATATTTCGTAAATCAAAGAAAAGGGAAAACGGGCGAGACAGGCGGTACTCTTAACTGGCTCTTAACTTAACTGCTGCCATCTATGTGTAAAAAACAATCAAACAAGTATTCACAGTGGGCATTGCACGTACGTACACGTCATACCCGTCGGCATTGGGATAACAAAGAGCCCATGTCTAAATGCTAGTAAGATCCGTCTGCATCTTTTTTCTCTCTTTTTTCTCTCTTTTTCCCTTTTATTCTTTTTATTCTCCTTTTAATTTATTTTTATCTCTCATGGCGTCGAACGGTTAAGATCGTTACGTGATGTTCCTTTTTTTATTATTCATTCTAAGAGATGGAAAAAAAAAACTTGATTTGGACCCTAGTAGTTATAGCAGAGTCGAGTTGTTTTTCTTTACCTTTTTTCTTTTTCTTTTTTTTTTCTTTTTTGAACAACAGCTAAAGAGGATGAGACAAAGGAAACTAAAATTGACAAGCAGGAAAATAGGGGGAACTTATATGGGCATCATCATCGCACAAGTTAAAAAATAAATAAATAAATAAATAAAAATAACCGGAAGAAAAAATAAATAAATGAATAAAAAAAAAGTTAAGAGACGTCATTATCACACGACGGTTAACAGAGCAACAACAACAACAAAAACATCGTTGTGGTTCCCTGCACGTACACCCACACACAAAAAAGGGTCTCACTCCTTAAAAAAAAAAAAAAAAAAAAAAAAAAAAAAAAAAAAAAAAAAAAACTTTTTAAAAAAAATCTCACTCCTAAAATAAAAAAAAGGAAGAAAAAAAAGGAAGGAAGGAACTAAAGAGGAAAAAAAAGGAAATTCTATAAAAATATTTTTTAAAAGATTAATTACGACCAAAAAGTAATATAAAAAGCTAAAAGTTTATTTGGATAATACAATTGGATAATTCACTAAAAGCTCAACGCCTTTGGAAGATGCAAATAAGGGGGGGGAGGGATCTGACTATATAAAAAAAATGATAAACAAGAAAATAGGGGGTAAGTATTTAAGCATCATCATCATACAAGTTATATATATATAAAAGTAACAGTAAGAATAAATAAATAAATAAAGTTAAGAGACATCATTATCACACGACGGTTACCTAAACAACAGTAACAACAACAAAAATAACGGCAACAAAGACAGGGTCATGGTTTCCTGCACGTACACCCACACAAAAAAAAAAAGAATCTCATTCCTAAAAATAAAATAAAAACTAAAAATAAAAAAAAAATCTCACCCTAAAAAAAAATAATAATAAAAATAAAAATCTCACTCCAAAAAGAAAGAAAGAAAAAAACAGTAAGGAAAGAAGTAAAGAGAAAATGAAGAAATTCTATTTAAAGAAAAAAAAAGTTTAGTTACGACTCAAATAAACTAAATAAAAAAAAGCAAAAAGTTGATTTACTATAAACAATTGCTTCACAAAAAAATCAATATACTTACTCTACCATTAAATAATTCACTAAGAGTTCAACGCCTTTGAAAGATGCAAGTAAAGGTGGGGATCTGACTACAAAAAAGAGGACCATCTTATATATGTATAAAAAAAACGCATAAATAAAAAAAATCGGTTCTCCCGCACGTATGATACACACAAAAAAGATAACTGATCAGCTGCCACGAATTTAGCATAGGGTGTGGCGAGGAAAAAAAAGAGGAGGAGGAGGAGGAAGGAAGAAGAAGAAGAAGAAGAAGAAGAAGAAGAAGAAGAAGAAGAAGAAGAAGAAGAAGAAGAAGAAGAAGAAGAAGAAGAAGAAGAAGAAGAAGAGGAAGAGGAGGAGGAAGAAGAGGAAGAGGAGGAGGAGGAGGAGGAGGAGAAAGAAGAAGAGGAAGAAGAAGGAGGGAGGAGGAAGAAGAAGGAGGAGGAGGAAGAGGAAGAGAAATAGAAAGAGGAGGAAGGGCGGGGAGGAGGAGGAGGGGGAGGAAGAGAAGAAGAAGATGAAGGAGGAGGAGGAGGAGAAGAAGAAGAAGAAAAAGGAAGAGAAGAAAAAGAAAAAGAAGAAGAAGAAAAGAAAAAAAAAGAGCAAAAGAAGCAAAAAAGGGAAAGTTCGGCCCAAAAGGAACACAAGAACAATATCTATCTACCTAAACAGTCCTAAAAATGTCACTAAAATTACACTAAAGTTATTCTATCCTTCACTAATTTCCAAAAAGAACAACGCCTTCGGGAGATGCAAATGAGGGAGGATTTGACTATAAAAAGAGGGGCATCAGTATAATAAAAAAAAAAAAATTGCATAAAAAAGTAGTTGATCCCCTGCACGTATGACATGCCCCCCCCCCCCCCCCCGAAAAAAATTGGCATGGTCATGAAAGTAGAAGAAGGAGAATAAAAAGAAGATGGAGAAGACATACTGATATAGATAAAGACAAAAACAAAGATAAAGAAAGAGACAAAAACAAAAATAAAGACAAAGAAAAGATAAAAGACAAAAACAAAGAGTAAGAGAAAGACGAAGACGATAAAGATGGAAGAAGAAAAACAGGATCGAAACGAAGTGCAAGGCAACGGAAAAAGAGGAAGAGGAAGAAGGGGGGAAATGGAAACCAGGAAATGGTTATAAGAGACACAAGGATAAGAAGAAAGAGAAGAAGAAGAAGAGGAAGAGGAAGAAGAAGAAGACGAAAAAGAAGAAGAGCAAAATGATGATGATGATGAAAAAGAAGAAGAAGAAAAAAAGAAGAAAAGAAGAAGAAGCAAAACAAGAATTCGTTATAAGACGAAATCGAAGAAGAAGAAAAACGGAAAAGGGAAACAAGTTGACATCAAACAGAATGCAAAATAAACAAACAAACAAAAAATTGCAGAGGGAAAGAACAAAAAAAAAAAAAAAAAAAAAAAAAAAAAAAAAAAAAAAAAAAAAAAAAAAAAAAAATATATATATATATATATATATATATATA